GGCCTTACTGTGCTCCTCTAGATCGTTTCTCCTAGTTACGGATTTTCTGTTGCTTTCACAGCTCAGGGAAGTTGAGGAAAAATTCAACAACCTCCTTTTTAAGTATGAAATTAAAGAAGACCAGAGCCTGCTGTCTTCAACAATTGAAGATCGGATGAAAAACCTACAAAATCACCTTACAGCCCAGTTCTGCGAAGAGCACGACTTAACGGTTTGGTCTCAGTTTACATTTGACAGTGCCATCAACTATGAACAACTCTCCCTGACAGAGAAGTTCGGCGTTCTCGAAGGAATAGTCCAGTTAGCTCTTGAAGACGCTCCAGATACTCTGACCAAACTGCAGAGCCAAGCCAACTGTGATGAGAAATATGGGTTTCTCCTGCATCTCCTCACTAAAATTTACACAACAAATGCAACTTTAGCAGGACACCTACTGCTGAGTGTTCTTGATGTGTTTGCTGAGCTTTCAAATGCATGCAAGGAGCTCCTGTGCCAGATATTGTTCAACAAACTCTGGACGCCTGTGGAAATAGTCTTCTTCATTCGTGGAGCCCTTCACCTCCCTCAGGAGCAAATGGAATCGGTTCTTCACACAGTTCAGACATACGGCTTTGACATGCTTACTGCTTTCCTTGCCCTTAAAAATGAAGAACCTGTGGAGGTTCTGCAACAATCCGCTAAACTGGAAGAGGACAAAGACCTAGAAACCGTTCTGAATGAAATGCGCGCAAACCACTATCCAGAGGAAACTCTTTCCATCATCGAGGATGTTTTACGCAAAGTGAGAGACGAGCTTCCAAAATTCAAATTTGTTGACCTCGATGATGAGATGATCAAAGATGGCATCAGCATGATACAGTCCCTGGACTGGATCAATCCCGACCAGGAAGTCCTCACCAAGGTCTTGATCGGGCTGTGCATTGGCGTCCAGGACTGCTCAACTATCATGAAACCCGATAAGAAAATTGAAGGCTATTTTCCCAGGACCACTCAGCTGGCCGCGTTGCTAATGTTCCTTCTTTCGGGAAGGTCCCCGGACACCCCCGGATGTCTTCTTGAGATCGGCACCGGGGAAGGCAAGTCGTGCATCCTGGCCATGTTTGCCACAATCCAGGCGATCCGGGGGACAAAGGTCGACATCGTGACGAGTTCTCCCGTGCTCGCCCGTCGTGACCAACAAGAATGGAGCAAGCTCTTCAAAATGTTTGGCCTTTGTTCCTCAGTGGTTCCTCCACCAAACCTGAACTCCTGTAAGGACGCCAAAAAACGAGACGAAAGTGTAAGAGAAGCCTACGATAAAAACATCGTTTATGGAACTGTAGGGAATTTTGCTGCAGATGTCCTAAAACAAGAGTTTGAAAAGACCAGAACCCGTGGGGACCGAGGATATGACCTGGTTATCGTCGATGAGGTGGACTACATGACCCTAGACAACGGCGTCCAGGTGACATTCCTTTCCCATGAAGCAAGTGGCCTGCGACACCTCGAGCAAGTCCTGGCTGGCCTCTGGTCGATGATCTGTACGTTCCAGCCCGTGGAAGTGGAGGAGACGGGAGAGATTCTGTGGGCGAGGATCCAGCTCTTCCATGAGGCCGCCTTCGCCGCGGTGATGGGCTCAGAAGGAAAGGAGAACTTCTCCCCCATCGACATTTTAAAACCTGCTTTGCAGTTAGGCTTTTTCACAGAGGAAGACGTAGAAAGAATACAGGCGGTCAAGACTGAGGCAGGACAGGAGAATGCGCCAGTGGAACTTGAAGACCAGAGCTGGAAGATTCTTCAGGTCATCATGAGCAAAATCGGAGTTGCCGAACAGCGCGACTTACTGACGGTGTTCGAGGAGGTGCTGGAAAGCACTCTCGCCTTCCAGTGCTACTCCCTCACACATGGCAAAGCAGTGAGGTATGGTGAGCACAATCCAAACCGTGAGGCTAACGTCAGGATGCTCCTTCTGGAAAACGGGCGCGCGTGTGAACTGGTGCCCCAGCAACAGATCATCAACACTACCGTTCCCAATTTAAATTCAAGAATTAAATACACTGATAACATTAAAAACCCGGACCAAATTCCAAAAGACACCATTGTCCTCCCTCTCTTCCTGAGGGACTATGTCAAGAAGAGATTAGCAGTCTTCGTGGAGAATGGACTCAGAGCCATCACGATGACACAAGACCGTGAATACATGATTCACTACGCATCTGCAGATGCAGAATCAGTCACAGAATCCGGAAAATCCGAGAAGCACCAGTACCAGGCCATCATACCTGTAGACTTCAAGGCCAGTGGTGTCCTGGAGAAGAACAAGCGATGGGGAGACGGGCTGCAGCAGTTCCTGGAAATGAAGCACCAGCTGGCAGTGACGCCACTGTCAAATGTCACGAACTATCTCTCCAACTTTCATTACTTTCAGAAATATCTCACGGGGAAAGGCATATTCGGCGTCACTGGAACTCTAGGGGGCGAAGCGGACGTTGAGTTTCTAGAACATCACTATAAAGCGAGAAGCTACGTGATCCCAGCTCACAGGCGGAAGAAGGTTGTGGAGCTGCCGGCAGTCCAGGTGAGCGGAGGTCAGGACCAGTGGATACAGACGATCTGCGAGCGCGTCCGGACGGTCACAGGACGGGGCCAGGTCGCCCTGGTGATCTGCGAAGACGTGAGGACGGCAGAGGAGCTCCAGCAGAAGATGACAGCCCCAGGAGCCTGCGTTCAGAGCCAGGTCATCATGTACACGATCAGCGGAAAGCACAAGGTGGAGAAGAACAAGTTTAAAGGGGGGAAGGTCATCATCGCGACAAATCTCGGAGGAAGGGGGACGGACATAAAAGTGAACAAAGAAGTCAACAGAAGAGGAGGCCTCTGCGTCTTCCTGACGCACTTTCCCGGCAGCCGGCGTGTGGAGAAGCAGGTGTTCGGCCGCACTGCCCGGAAGGGGAACCCGGGCATGGTGCAGATGGTCCTGAACCGTGAAGCCCTGGCGCCGGCCTACCGGGGCCAGCCGATCGAAGCCATGAGGCGCCTGAGGGAGGACTACGAAGTCAGGCGCATAGCCGACATGGAGAACGACGAGCTGTTGGAGATCCGGATGAGGGCGGAGCTTTTCACCTGCTTTTGCGAGAAGCTCCGTGATTTCGAGGGCAACTACCCTGAAGAACAGAGGAAGAGTCCCCTTGAAGTGAAGGATCTGAAATATTTTGAGGGCCCCGTGGAGAAATTCGATTACCTCCCTGCCCTCAACGCCCTGAAGGAGTCCTGGGCGCTTTGGCTCCTCCTGCACGAACAGAAAATAAACCAGCACCTGGACGTCGGCGTCTTGAGGTCAGACCTCTGCAGCATGCTCCAGCACACGGCCGAGCACCTCCTGAGGGGCAGCAGCACGAACTTCTACGATCACATCAAACAGGCAGTGAGCAGAATGGACCTGCACTCGAGGAAGAAAAGTCACGACTACGGTGCTCTATCCTGCTGGCAAAGAGCGATAGAGGCTGAAGGAGCATACAGAGCCGTGTCACTGTACAACCAGGCTTATATTACAATCAATATGCAGAAAGATGGCTACAAAGGAAAAGCAATAGACCTCCTGAATGAAGCAAAAAAAGCTGTTGACATCTACGTGCTGGAAACCACCAACACGGTGGCCTCTTGCAATATCTCCTGCGCAGCGAAGTTCAAGCCCCATCGCACAGGAGGCACCAATTTCCAAGGACAGATGGAGGCGCGGTTAAGCTTAATGAAAAACTGGAAGGAGTACATAACAAAGGCCACGGAGAAGCTGAAGAGCCTGCAAGAGAGCAAGGATGATGCAATAGCAGAAGAGGCCTCTGTGTACTCTCTCTCGGGAATGAAGAGCTACATTGTGATGACGGAGCTCATGGCTCTTTACGAGTACGGCCTCTGTATCGTTTTCGAGGTCAAGAAAAAGCCCAGGTTTTGCATCGACGCGCTCATCTGCGCCCTGCTCGGAGTGTGCCAGATATTTCTGGGGGCTCTGGTCTGTGTCTTGTCCTTTGGGACAGCGAGCCAGGTGGGGCTGGGGATCATTTCAGAGGGGGTGTCGGACCTGATCCAGGGGGTCCAAGGGATGATCGAAGGTAAGTTCGATTGGAAAGAATGGGCAATTTCCAAATCCATCAGTCTTGGGATTTCGTTAGTCACAGCCGGATTCAGCACGATCAAGAATATTGTGTCCTCCGTGTACAAAACCACCAGAGCGCTTGTGACAGGAGCGAAATCTTTTTCATCCGTGTTTGATGACATCTTTCGCGCGGGAAAAAGCACTTTTTCGGCGCTGAAGGGAAACGCCAAAACAGCGTTTTCGGCTCTGTCCACAGAAATGCTGGAGAATTCATGGAAGAACGTCTCCTCACATTCAGTCACCACCAGCGTCAAGCATGTGGCCAAGTACACTGTTCAGGAAATAGCAAAACAGGGAGTCATCACTGCCTTGGACTACGCCATTGATCAAGGTCTAAACGAAATCTTTCAGAAAATCCTATCAGATGCCTTCAAGGATTCAGTAACCTCTAATGTGAAAAGTAATGAACATCTGCGTCAGTATCTCACTAAATTCATTGTCACGAATGGCGTCCCAAGCGGCACCTCACTGAGTGATCCCAACGCTGCCAAAATCCCAGATCAGCTCCAAAAAACTATGAAGCACTTGCTTTCAGACTGCTTGCTCTCGACCTTTGATGACCCCAAATATACCAGCGAGCTCAAAGGGGTCCTCAAACAGGTCTCAGAAGTGCAAGACAAAATCACGGATCTGATGAAGAAAGCCGGAGTCTCAGGTGCCTTACAAAAGACCTTCAAGATGAGTATGAAAATTCAGCAATTTTCTTCAGATTTCATTCAAATGTTAAAAAGCATTCCCACCGAATCAATGATCAACAAATTTGTGGGAAGATTTATTAATAACATGGAGGACAGCCTGGAACCAGAGAAACAATGTCGTGATCACAAGATGGAGGAAATGGCAGGACTTCGAGATGTTGGTCAGCTCCAGGAGGAATTTCTCGGTTTTATATCGGAGCAAATGTCAGATGAATTTCTACAAACCTGCATCGGTCACCTGACATCCATGGTGACGAGTACCTTCCAGAAAAAACTAAACAGGACTGTGGGGACTGCCACCAGCAACCTTCTCGGGAGGCACCAAACCCAGCGCTTCTTTGACGAGCAGGAGCACCCCCGGGACACGAGAAGGCCGGGCCTGTCTGAGGCCGACCGGCGGGAGCTCGCGGCGTACGCGGAGAGGATCAGCGACGTCCGCCGGCCGGCCACCGCCCTGGACGTCCGGGTCCTGACCTCCGGCGACATCATCGGCGGCAGAGGCGTCCGGATCGTCGTGGTGGACGAGGAGGGGAAGCAGAGGTCCGTGGAGCACTTCCGCGGGCGGGACGGCACCGCCGGGGACATCACGCTGAGGCTGACGAGGGCGCCGCCGCAGGAGGAAAGGTACGGGTACCGAGCGGCTCTCGGACGGTCCTCCGGACTCAAGGGGCCCAGCAGCTCCCACAGCCCCAGCACAGGGAGAATTCAGGCAGGGAATCTGACAAATAGGAAGTCGATTCGTAGGCGGTAGATTTTCTTTTCTCTCTCACTTCTGCTTCGATGGGAAGCAAGCGGACTCAGCAGATTAAATGCGGCGGGTCTTACACTGGATCAGGAGGCATAGCAGCACGGTACAGTACCTCTAGAAGCCCACAGTGTCCATTTTCACCCCACTCCTGCTGGCCCGCTGCGGGGCGTACTGTACCTCATTTTAGAGCACTTCCGCTCGTTGGTTTTAATTTAAAAAGTTTGGAAACGTTTCTTAGGTGAGGCCAGCAAACGCAAGGCCCCTGGTCTTTGACTGTCGTAACTTTTCATTTTAATCTGCACGCCGCCGCGGGTTACGATGCGCTGGACGGGTGCCATTCAAATGTCTCGGTTTCAGTGGGAGGGGGCCGCTTGCCGCGCTCGGAGATGGGATCCGGGGAGGAGAGGCCCCTTACCGCGGTCACTTCGACCTCGTGGGCCCAGACGGCGCCGTCGTCCCGGTGAAGTCGGAGGACCGGAACGGCTTCTATCATGCCATCGCTCAGGCCACCACGGGCCAGCAGGGCGACGAGGCCCGGACAGCGGCAGAGACCCTCAGGACCGCGGTCAGAGACGAGGTAGAGTGTGCACTTTGTGTCTGTCCTCACCTCTCCCTCCTCGGTTTGGATTTTGGGTGACAGATTTAGATTCTGCTTTGGCTGTTCCTGTGGGTGGGAACACAACAGGTATTTAACCAGCGCTAAATGAACAGACCCTCACTGCCAAGGGCCCCTCGGAGACCCACTTTCCCAGCTTGTTTCAGGGTGAAACCCAGGATCCGAGCCCACAAGCCGCAGACCCGGCGACACGGCCAGTGGTTATTTCCTCAGGTCATCAGCTGATACAGCACCTGCAGGCGGACGAAGTCCTGCTCTCCTGCTCCGATGAAAGCAGCAGCATTGACATCCACCCAGCCGGCGGCGCAGGCGGGACTCCCACACACGCG